GAATTGGGGGGGGGGGGCACAGGTCTGTGCTGCTACACTTCCTTCCTCCAGGACCAACCCCAGTCGGTGTTGATAATGAGTGAGAGGTCCAACCTTGCGCACCTTGCTTTGTGATGCACCGCAGGCTCGGGGCTTCCTCTCTGCTCCTTTTCAGCATCTACCTGAAGCTGCTGGGGCCAGGTGTGAATCAGAGCCAGGTGTGCGTCTCCCTCCCGGGCAGTGAGCAATGCTGTGGAACCCCTCTGGTGGGGTTGGGAGGCTGAGGGGATGGGAGACAACAGGCTTCAACTGAAGCCTGATTAGACGGAGCGGCTGTGGGTCTGTTCTGCGTATCTGGGGGTTTACCATCTTTGATCCTGGATGGGATTGCATTGCCCCAACAGACCTGAGGTGTAGCCTGCCTCCCTCCCCCCCCCACTGGGCTCATGACTCCTGCTCCAGGAGCAGGTGGCAGTTGTGGCCTTTGCTCAGCTTGGGGTTGTGTACCACTTATGCCCCTTTCCCGGATGAAGAAGGCCTCCTTTCGGTCATTCATGCCCTGATCCTCTCCCAGATAGATTACTGCAATGGGTGCTCTACATGGGGCTACCCTTGGAGACTATCTGCAACAATGCAGTTCTGGGTTCCCTGGTGTTGTCCATGGAGCACCCATGTTGTGTGAGGTGCACCTGTTGTTGGTTTGCTTCCAAATCGAATTCAAGGTGTTGGTTATCACCTTTCAAGGCCTTTGTGGCCTGGGCCCAAGTTGCCAAAGGAGCCGTTGTGCCCCAATTACATTGCCCCACCGGCAAAGCATGACTGTGTTCTCCGTAAGACGCCAAGACCAAACCCCACGAAGACTTCCTGGGTCCCTGCCTGGTTCCCTCAAGATGCCAGTGGTTGAGATGTAGCCCACCCGATGCAAGGCGAATCCCCTGGGAAGCCAGCATCTCTCTGGGGAAAACCAACATTCCAGGAATGACCTGAGATCCTAAGCTTTATGTCCCAAACTCAGCAGAAATAGAAAGTTCAGCAAAAATCTTCATTGCGCTACTTGTGAATTCCCTCCCCCCAAATTTTTACACAGATTTTCATAATTAAAAACCAATAGGAAAAAGGCCAGAACAAATCCAGGACTGGATGGAAATCACTTTCTTTTCTCAATTGGCCAAGGAGTCCCTTTCTATGTTTATTAAGTTTTAAAAAGCAGATTCTTTAAAATGTTGGTTTTCCTTCCTGGCATATCCTGGAATGCTTCTCTCAGCGGCAGAATCTCTTTGGCAGACGGTCAAGCCAAGAAGCCCTGGGAAGGTCACCACCATGCACAAAGACTTCGGATTTCTTCTTCTTTCTTTCTTTCTTTCCTTTTCCTTCTTTCCTTCCTCTCTCTTTCTTTCTTTAAAAAGCAGCAGATGCTCCTAAACCTTACTACCTTAAGAGCCTTGGTAGTACAGTGGTCTAAAGCTGTTATTAAGACCAGCTGCCTGCAATTACTGCAGGTTCGAATCTCACCAGGCTCAAGGTTGACTCAGCCTTCCATCCTTTCTAAGGTAGGTTAAATGAGGACCCGGATTGTGGGGGCAATAAGCTGACTTTGTATAAATATACAAAAGTATGAAGGCTATTGCTGAGCACATTGTAAGCCGCCCTGAGTCTCCGGAGAAGGGCGGCATATAAATCAAATTAAAAAAAAAAAAACTCCTTTACAAATTAGGAATTGACCTTCTCTCTTGCTCTGGATATTTCTAGTAAATATCTTATTGTGGCTAATTGTATAACTAACTTAGTATAAATGTTTGCACAAATAACTTGCTACTAGTGTAAAAAAATCCTCATTTATTCCAAGCTGTAATCTTGGGTTTTGTTCTTTGCTCCCTGGAGATGAGATTAAAATGTACCATCCCATCCCATGTGAAATCTCACGAAAGATGGCCAGGATTCTTGTCTAAATTTCCCCTCACACTCAATGGATAGCTTCTTAAGAATAAACCACGCATACAAAATAACCCCCTTCTTAATTATGCAACCCGGCAATAATATTGCAAGAAGACAAAGTAATGTACATAATTTATTCATATCAGAGTCTGGGCTGTCTTACTACAGAATTAACAAGAGCCGTTAAGAGGGAGGGGGAGGGGTGCGGAGTCCTGGGGTCCGTTCCATGGATTTAGGTCTCTCTGGGGACTCTGATGAAAAAGGGGGCTCCTCAGTCCTGAAAGGGGCTTCCAGAAACAAGTGGGGTGCACTAGGAAGGGCATACAGTACCTTTTCAACGAACACCTGCTGGTCTTCTGCATCCCAGGTTCAGCAGGCCAGCTGGCCTCCCATTTCTCCTACATTTGGGGGGCTCTTACCATGAGAAGAGACCTGGGCGCTCTCTGCTTCCAGTGCAAGCTGGTTCAGGGCAGACTGGGGACCCTCCAGACACATCAAACCATCCCAAGTCAGGAGGATTCACTTGGGCTGGAACAGCTCCCGGTGGTTTGACAGAAGGAAATGGGGCACGGGGGTCTCAAAGATGCTTTTCTCCCCAAAAGGCAATTGGATTTTCTTGGCGTCTTCTGTGAAAATGTTTCATTTTCATCCAAGAAGCTTCTTCTGTTCTGACTGAATGGTGGAAGATGGAAGGATTTATATTCCTTGCAGTCCTCTGGTTGTTAGGGCTCCCTCTGAGAGTCCTTGAGGCCACCTGGAGGCTTGTCTGTGCCCTCAGGGTCACCCGAATAGTGGAAGTGGAACTGCTGAAGGGACTGTGTTGTGAACAGGAGATGGGTGGGGTCGTATCCCTCTCCCTCTCTTGAGGGAGGGCTCTTCAAGTTTCACATGGATGGCTTCTTTGGTCCCTCTTTCAAACCGGGGGTCCCCTGAGCCCAGAATGTGGACTTTGCTGTCTTCAAAAGAGTGGGCTTCACCTTGAACCGCTGAATCTTCTCCTGATGGCTCTTTTGTTCTTCTGTGTTGCATTTGTGAAATGTTTCCGCAACATACAGGTCTGCGCATGTCTTGCTGCGTTGCACTGCATAGATCCCAACGCTCCCTTTGTGTCTGGGTGTTTTCTCCTCGGGGTGGACAAGCTTCTGCCTCAATGGCCTGAAAGCCAATGACCAACCTCCAGGGTGCTAAAGGCCAGATGACTGCAACCAATCTAAATCCTTCCATTCTCCACCAGCCAGTCAGAACTGAAGAAGCTTCTTGGATGAGAAGCGAAACATTTTCAAAGGGAAAAAAAGCAAGAGAGTCCAAAAAAGCAGCTGTGGGACAACCATGACCTGGAGGATGGAGAATCTCGGCAGGCATTCAGGCAGAAGGAGCTTCTTCTTCTTCTTCTGGTCTCAGAATGCCAGGGAGTCTCCGTGGAGAGACAGATGGGGCCAGCCGGCCTGCCACGTCCGGCTGCCAAGGCCTTGGCTGTGGTTGGTTGCCCTGGAGGACAGTGGCCGTCGCCTCATCCTGCAACGTGGCTCTTGGGAGGAGGAGGCACAAGGGGCAGCAAGGCCAACCAGGGGCTCAAACCCCCCTCCAGGCAAGGTACCTTTTGCTGGGGAGGCAGAAGCTTCCGGTCATAGGAGGATGGCTTAGGATTGGCCACGTTGACCATGGTGGGATCAAAATTCCACCTGTTTTAATGTGGAATCACCCCGTTCTGGCTGTCCTCTTGACTTTCTGACCGTGTCCCATGGACACCCCTGCTTAAGAGCAGCAGAAATGAAGAAGTACAGGAAAGTCCACGACTTATGACCAGAATTGAGCCCAAAAATTTTTGATGCTAGGCAAGACATTTCTTAAGTGAGTGTTACTCCATTTTATGACCTTTCTCAGCACAATTGTTAAGTGAATCACTGCAGTTATTAAGTTAGTAACATGGTTGTTAAAGTGTTGTGGCCCGTCAGCGGCCTGTGCAGCTAGTAGCTGATTCAGACAGTGAGGAGGCTGGTGTGGTGCTGCGCCAGCAGCCTGTGCAGCTGGCACTCGAGTTGGACAATAAGGAGGCTGGAGAAGATGTGGTGCCAGAGGCGGGGATTCAGCCAGGGCCTTCAGAAGCTCCAGAAGCTCCCTTAAGTGAAGAGGACAAAGAGGAGGAGCCTCTTCTTGATGCACGGGTGCGCAGAGCAGCCAAAAGGCAGGAGTGGCTCCTCAGGAGGAGGTCTCCTCGAGAGTAGGGCTAGTTGGCCACTCCCTCAGCCTATTTAAGGAGGAATGCCGACTGAAGCAATTTGCAGGGAACAACTTAGTTCACATACCTTCGTGTCTTGTCTTGCTTATCGGCTTCCTGCAAATTGCTTCTGGGCAGTCTGCCAACCACAGTAAGCTTTCAGTTATTATTCTTTGAATTCTTGGTGGCTGTTAATGCAGTTAATTAACAGCCGTTGTTGTAAAAGACTGGTTTATTTAGTAAACCAAGGTTTGAACGGACTTTGTGTGTGCTGCGTTCTTTGGGGTCCGTAGCTGGGGCAGAACATTAAGTGAATCTGAATTCCTGTTGACTCTGCTTGTCAGAAGGTCACAAAAGGGGATCACGTGACCCTGGGACATGGCGGCCGTCATGAGTCACTTGCCAGGCATCTGATTTTGGTCATGTGATGCTGCAACGGTCGTAAGTGTGAAAAATGGGAAAAACGTCAACTTTTCTAGTGCCCTTGAAATTTTGAGTGGTCACTAAATGAATGTAAGTCGGGGACAACCCATATCTCAGATTTCCACTGGGGTTATGGGGAGGCAGGCAAACCACCTGGAATTTCCTCTGATCTTCTACACCGAGGGTGTCAAACTCAAGGGCCGGATCTGGCCCCCGGGGTGCTTAGATCTGGCCTGTGGGGCCACCCTGGAGAGCGAAGGACTGGCTCTGACAGTGACCAATGGCCTCCCGAGCTCTGTTTTCGACTGCGGTGGCCTCCTGCAACCCTCTGCCAGCAAAGACGGAGCTTGGGAGGAGCCCATTTTTCGCTGGCAGAGCGCTCAGGCCACCACAGGCGCCCCTGACACGAGTGACATTGGGCTGGCCCCGCCCCCTGCCCCCCCCCCCCCCCCGAGTTTAAACACAACCCTGACACGGCCCTCAATGAAATCGAGTTTGACACCCTTGTTCTACACAACGTTCAGTTTTGCTAGGAAGGAGACTTCCAGCCCCTCCCCCTCTTAACTTCACCCCAAGGAACCAGCTGCTTCCCAACAAACCAGGTTTTTCTTGGATGCTGGTCTGGGACGACCTTATGGCTTTGATCTGAAGTTTTTCTTCCCTTTGAACCCCAAGCCTCATGGGAATTCTGCAAGGAGACGCAGGGGTTCCGCTTCTCCCACAAAATGAGAATGGCCACTGCAGGCAGGATGCAGAGGGGATTAAGCCCACCGGGTCAGCCAGGACCTCAGGCGGGGATTCACCAGGTGTCCACCTCGGGGTGTTAATGTTCAGGCACGACCTGCAGAACTAGCTGCCAAAGCCAAACAAGCTTCCCTTCGGAAGTCCTGGGGGCTCCAGAAGACACTGGGCAGCCTTTTGTCCGGGATGATGTAAGATCTCCTGCTTGAGCCTCCGAGGTCTCTTCCAACTCGGTTCTTCTATGTTCTATGTTCAAACGGAGCAATACAGAGGGAACCTGACCACAGGGCCTGCCCTGCCCCTCGGCTTGGGGGGGTCCGAGGAACTTGGGAATCCAATCTGCCCCCCCCCATTTGCATGCAGATGGTGAAGGTTTCTAAGTCCCTCCCCTCCCCCAAATACAGTCAATGATTTCCAGAACTCTTCAAACCCCCCAAGAGGCTGGAGGAAGGGCAGGAAACGCAGGGATAAATCATGTTGGGGGGCCCTTTGATTCACGGGTGCAGACAAGCCAAGGGGGGGGGGGGCTTCACTGGCTGGCAACGCTGCTGCCCTGGCAGGAGACATTTTCTCTGCCAGCAGGACGGGAGGTTTGGGGCTGAGCTCCAGGGCAGGGGCTCTCCGGAGGAGAAGCTGTTCTTGCTGAGACATGAAAACACCCCGGCTCCTCTGGGTGGGATCAGCTCCTCCTGGGCTGGTGAGAGAAGGAGAGAGGGGGGAAGGCAACCACTGAATGTGCTCCTGGCAGACTGTGCCGGGGTAGACCTGGCATCCTCCAAGGTGGCAAAGGCAGTTTCTCTTTGGGAGCAAGATTGGGCCAGCACACAGCTCTCAAAACCTGGAACTGCTCCGGCCCCACTTTCCGTGGGAAGACCGAATGGCAAAGGAACAATGAAGGGAGGGGGCTGCAATGGGTGAAGCTGGTTCCCAGTCAGCCCCCCAGAAGCTCCAGGGTGAATGCGCTTGGTGCACTGGAGTGCCAAAACAATCCAGCATGCGGTGGCCTGGTTTCCTTGGCCAGCCAGAAACCAGAGTCTGCAGTGATGCCGGCCTCAGTTTCCCTCTCTCTCTCTCTCTCTCTCTGAGCTGCTGAGCTCCATCCATCTTGGCCAATCAGAAAACACTTGGCTTGGCCTTGCCGTGAAGAGGGGAAGGGCTGATGGATGCTCCAGTTTCATTTCCAGAGGCCGGGATACTGTCGGAATATCCGGATTCAGAGTCCCTCCAGCTGATCAGAACAAACTGCAAAACCAAAGGGGAAACGGAAGAAACCTGGAAGCTCTGGCATTTTGGCTCCCCAGAGAGGAGGCTGAAGTCACTGATGAAAAGGGGTTGAGGAGGATATCCAGAGGGAGCCCGGAGGGCAAAGGGGCTTCCATCAGCCCTCCTGTGATTGTCCTGGCAGGGGGTGCAGCTCCTGGGGGGCCTCCGGCACTTTGGGGCAGCCAGTCCAATATCTGTCACGATGGCAAGAAGCTCCTTCCTTTGACTCATCCAAGGAGGCCCGTCTGGCCGTCTCCTGGCTCCGCCAAAGGGCCTCACATCGATGGCTTGAGATGGATGGCGGCACTGTTGGGCCGGGCAGCAAGGATGTAGACCGTGCTTTCTCTCAAAAAGGCCGGCCAGGTGACGGTCCTGCTGGGGGCAAAAGAGGAGACAACCAGGGTGAGCGTCTCTGGAGAGTCTCAACCCTGCAGGTCAAGGTTGTCCCAAAAGTGCTTTTCCAAAGGACAACTGGACTCTCTTGGGTTTTATTTTTTTTGTTTGAAAACATTTCGCCTCTCAAGTTCTAACTGACTGGTGGGGAAATAAAGTCAGTCAGAAGTGAAGAGGTTTCTGGGATGAGAAATGAAATGTTTTCAAAGAAAAAAACCAAGAAAGTCAAATGATCTTTTGGAAAAGCAGCTTTGGGACAACCAGAAGTGAGATGGAGGCTGGCTCCAGTCCCTCTGCCAAGCAGAGGGAGGGCAGTGCCCAATCTGAGTGATGCCCCGTTGCTTGAGGCGAGGGATGCAGGGCCAGAGCTGCGACTGGCCTGGTGCCAACCCCTCTCTCTTCCCCTCCCTCCTCTCTCCCTCTAAGAAAAGCATTTCACAAGTAGTGCATCCAGAAAACACTGAAAATAACACACCACACACTCCCCCGGGAGCATTCCCTAAGAGGTAGGTTTTTTTTAATTAAAAAAAAACCCCTTTAAATGTTTTCTTTTGTTGGAAATTGTGCTACCAGACTCCTCCTATCAATACCCTGAGCTCCGTCAGCCTACGACATGCCCCTCAATCAGAAGAGAGCGGAAAGGGATTTTGGAGGTCTTCTAGTCCAAACCCGTTTAAGAAGGAGACTCTCTACAATTTGAGACAAGTGGCTGCCCAGTCTCTTTTTAAAAGCACCCACAACTTCCGAAGGCAACTTCTGTTCCACCGATTAGTTGTCCCCACTGTTAGGAAGTTTCTCCTTAACTCCACGTTGCTTCTCTCCTTGATTAGTTTCCATCTGAAACTTCTTGTCCTGCCTTCAGGTGGTTTGGAGAAGAGGTTGCCCCCCCCTCTTCTTTGTGGCAGCCCCTCAGCCCCTGGGATGCTGCTATCATGCCACCCACTGGTCCTTCTTTTCTCTGGACTAGTTAAACCCAAATCCTGCAACCCTTCCTTGTATATTTTAGTCTCCAGCCTTTAATCATCCTAGTTGCTCTTCCAAATTCTCAACATTTTTTTTTTGTAAGGTGGTGACCAAAACTGGAGGCCGTATATTGCAGGTGTGCCCTTGTTAAGGCTTTATAAAGCGGTACTAACCCTTCAGGTGGTTTTCATTCTATGCCTCTGTTTAGGCAACCAAGGGTTGGATTAGCTTTTTGGCTGCTGCCACAAATGGCTGGCAGATGTGGCCAACTCCATTTGCAAGGTGTCTCTAGTTTGAGAGGGTCTCCTTGCGGTTGGTAAAGGTGTGGGATGTTCACCTGATTGCTTAAACTACCAATGGGCCACTGAGTGAGGGAGCAGAGGCGCATTGGTGGTGGTGCACAGATGATGCCATTTTGCTGGCTGGGAACAGAAATCGTTTTTGTCCAGTCTGTGTCCGGCCAAGAGGTGTAAGTAAGTAGCTGAAGGGTCATTTACCAAAGGACAACGTAGTTGTGTTAGACAGTGAAAGTGGAGGGATCGACCACAAATTTTACACAAATTAGAGTAAATAGGGAGGCAGACCAAGAAAATGAATTTGTGTATCTGCATAAAACATGAATTAAACAGGTAATAGGTATGTGCTGGTAGGAAAATATGGGGTGAGATATGCCTGTTATCAGGAGAGATTGTCAAGTGAAGCAAAAATGGTTGAGAACAGGAGTGTCCTCCCACCTCCTTCGTTGCAGGAAATCCTCGACTTATGACCACAATTGAGCCCAAAAGCTCTATTGCTAAGCAAGACAGTTGTTAAGCACATTTTGCCCCATAGTACAACCTTTCTTGCCATGGTTGTTAAGTGAATCATTACAATTGTTAAGTTGGTAACGTGGTTGTTAAGTGAATCTGGCTTCCCCCTTGACTTTGCTTGTCAGAAGGTCGCTGCAATGGTTGTTAAGTGTGAAAAAGGTCATAATTCAGTGCCATAATTTTTTCAGTGCCGTTGTAACTCCGAACAGTCACTAAATGAACTGTTAAAAGTTAAGGACTATCTATAGAAGAAAGCAGTTGATTAGAAATCCTTTCTAATCCAGTAAAACACGGAGACTCAACAAGTAAACCCCTCCTTCATTTAAAAAAAAAGCCTCTTCAGGATTTATTTTTATTTTTATATCAAAGGATCAAAGGATCCTTTGCTGCTCTGTTTGTGGTCCAGCCAGATGCTCTTCCTCCTAGACCAGTGATGGCTAACCTTTTTGCCATCGCGTGCCAAAAACTGGGAGAGTGCGGGGTGGTCACACGCGTGCGTGCCCACATCCATAATTCTATGCCCCCTGCCACCCCATGCATGTGTGCGCAACCTCCCATGCTCCCCCTGCTTTTGGCATGTGATGGCATGGTGGACCTGGTAGGTTCGTTTTTTGGCCTCTCCAGGCTCCAGAGGCTTTCTAGGAGCCTGGGGAGGGCAAAAACAGCCTTCCCCACCTCCCCAGAGGCCCTCCAGAGGCCGGAAACAGCCCATTTGCCAACTTCTATTGGGCCCAGAAGGCCCCAAAATCATGCATGCTGCGTGCTGGAGCTGAGCTAGGACAAGGCTCATGTGCCCACCAATATGGCTCTGCGTGCCACCACAGGCTCGCCATCACGGTCCTAGACTTCGATGCAACTTTGATTGATTAATCACCATCAAGACGAAGGAAGATGCATCCTGCACTTTTGCTGGACACCAGACGCAGGGAGGGAAGTGCCCACAGTGCAAATGGCAGGGTGGTGGTGGCGGCAGAAGGAATTGGACAGCGGGGCAGCCTAGCCTTCTCTGGGCCCCTCCCTGACCGCAGATTCACAGCTCCAGCAGGAATCCCTTTCTCTGCCTGCCTCCTTCTTGACCACGGCTGCCCGGCTGAGCCAGGTGCCGCCCCTCCCACGCCTCTGAAGATTCACAGCGTGCTCCGCTGCCAACTGTTCCCATGGCAACACCGGTGCCTCATCTCAATTCCTAACGAGGCTGAGCTGATTGCCAGCGCCCGATCCTCTCGCCAGCAGACCCCAAAGGTAGAAGCGGCCACAGGAAGAGAGGCCAGAAGGAGGAGGTTTGTGGGGATTCTGCTGGTGAAATGCTGGCCTCTGGACTGGCTGACGAGCCTGTCCTGGCTCAGCATAACAGAATCACAAGAGTTGGAAGGGACCTCGGAGGTCTTCTAGTCCAACCCCCTGCTATACCATTCCACACAAATGGCTCTCCGGTCTCTTCTTGAAAGCCTCCAGTGATGGAGCAGCCATAACTCCTGGAGACAAACCATTCGGCTGGTTTATTGTTCTCACTGTCAGGAAGGCGGGGTGCTAGGATAACCACCTAATATTCAATATGGAACCACAGCACCTCCTAAAGCACTTCATAAGTTGATGAGACCCCCCCTCAATAAATGGAATCCAGGTTTCCCCCCCTAAAAACCTCTTCTAGAAGTCCATTTGTAAGGGCTGGCTCTTTTTCAGCCCACCAGAAGTCATTAGAGAAAAAGTGGATTTGGCTGCAGAATAAATGCTGAATTTGCTGGCTACATCCACGGCATCTTTTCACCCGACTGGGCAAAGCAACTGTCAGTCTTTCAATCACCCTCCTTGTTCCACAAATTGGAAGAAGGAATGAAAGGAAGAGCAGCGATGGCTCAGACCAGGGGTGGGTTCTACTTATCTTTACTACCGGTTCGCAACGGGGCCGCGCACACTTTTCTGCGCAAGCGCAGAAGCATTTTCATGACGTAAGGGTCAGTGGGCAGAGCCTCCCGACGGTTTTACTACTGGCTCTATAGAATCGGTGCGAACCGGGGCAACCCACCACTGGCTCAGACCATCTCTCAGCTGTTCCTTTCTCGGTCAGGAGCTGCGACCCTGTGCTGAACTCTGTCTCTTATTCATGCAGGGCCGGAGTGGCTAAGCCAGGGTAACGGAAATAACTTGGTTAGCTAGATTGTTAACTTGGTTTGGAGTTTGTGTGTGTAACTGGGTCTTCCCTGATTTCCCTACATGGTTTCCTCCATACCGAGTCTAAACCAGGGCTCTCCAAACTTGGCAACTTTCAAGTCTTGTGGACTTCAACTCCCAGAATTCCTCAGCCAGCATTGCTCACTGGGGAATTCTGGGAGTTGAAGTCCACAAGTCTTAAATTTGCCAGGTGTGGAGAGCCCTGGCCTAAACCAAGTCTGGAGACCCTGGTCAAAACTTTACACAAGTCTTAAAAGTTTAGGGACCCCCGGTCTAAGCTCTATGATTCACTGCCGGGAGTTCTTCAGGATTAGGGCAAGACAGAAATATTGCTAAAATCCATACATCCGCAAAGATCTGACTTCATTGGCCCGATGAAGAAATATCTCACTAAAGCCATCCTCACCTGTAACATTATCCAGTATCCTTAACACAAAAGGCTGCTTAAATTCTGCATTTCTTGATCTGGGGAAGAGCTCCCCAAGTGGGCACCGTCTTGGCACTTGAGCTAAAAGCACCCCAGGTGGTACCAGGAGAACAGTCAGGTGGCAAAGTAGCCCACTGAGAAGAAGACCGTATTTCTACCTTCCTCCCTTGGGGCAACTCGGCCAATGGGGCCGGCTGGGGCTCTAGACCAACGCCTGGGTTGCTGTTCTGGATTCTCCGGGTAGAGTCCATCCGTTTTGGCTTATTATTCCAATTGACAAGGAACCTGGGCTTGCTTACAACGCAGGGGAAGCTTTCACCGTAGGGGACGTGAGAAAGCCCTTCTCCAGATGTTGCAGTCCAGGGAGAGTGTGGACACCCAGAGGTTCTTTGGCCATGACCCCCTGGCACGCAGCCCTGCCCGGACCCCTCACTGGAAGCCCTGGGGCATCTTTTGGGGAGGGTCTCAGCGCCTACCTTGCTTCCCCTGGCTCTTCTCCGGGCAGCTTCTTGTCCTCCTGCTTTTGGCTGTTGCCTTCAGAGACAGGCTCCGCCTGGCTGGCGCTGAAAGAGAACCACAAACAGACCCCGGCCCAGGCCCAGGGTTAGGGGTGGGGGTGGGGGGCCAGTCCGGAGAGAGGCCGACCGGATCAGCCAATTGGCTAAAGTCATCCCAGCGTTTGGGGCCGGGGGGGGGGGGGAGGATATGAAGGCTTCATCCACATGGATCAGGGTGACCTCCCCCACAAAGAAACCAGGCCCCCCTTCTGCCTTGAATCCACTTAGTTCTCGACCTGCCATCAAAAGTGACCCTGGCAATTATGGTCATAAATCACGACCGTTGTAAAGCAGGTCATCAGGTGACCGACTACATTTTATGACCTTTTTCTGTGGTGGTCGTTAAGCAAACACAGCAGTCGTTAAATGAACCCATTGCTGTTTTAATGGAAATCGGAATAAATGCTGGTTTTGGGCAAAAACGTTTTAGATCGCAGTCATGTGACTGGGATGCTGCAAACAGCTGGAAGTGCACTGGTTGCCAAGCAACCACAATGCAGTTATGCCACTGTGGGATTGGGGGGGGCAGCGGTCAGAACTTGAGAACTGGGTCTGAAGAACCTTTCGGGGAGTCCATAGTAACTTCAAATGGTCATTAAGTGACCGGTTGTTAAGTCAAGGATACCCACGTGTCCCGATGGTTTGGGCCTATGGTGGCCTTGCATTGCTTGGTCCAGCTGTGTCTCCAGCTGCCTCCCGCCCTGCTTTGATGGCCCTCCCAGCCCTGGCAGCCCTCAGGGGTCAAGGGAGGGGTCTCCAACCTTGGCGACTTTAATACTTGTGGACTTCAACTCCCAAAAGTGAGGGATTCTGGGAGTTGAAGTCCCTAAGTCTTAAAATTGCCAAGTTTGGCCAAGTCGATCGAGTACGGTGAGAGCTATGGGGCAGCTTGCCAGGGGAGAGAAAACCAGCTGTCGAAACTGTCCACAGGTGAGGCTTCCTTCCCCTGTCGATGGCCGACCAGCCAGCCACAGGGGCCCAGGTAACCCACCCCTCACCTGCCGAGGTCTTACCTGGCGCTGGAGGAGGCTGTCCCTGGATGCCGTTTTCGGAACCAAGCGTGCTGGGAGTGCCGGCTCTGGTCCTGGCTGATGAGCCCATCCCCCTGCTGGTTGAGGGCCAGGAAGGCTTCCCGTGCCCGCTCCCTCTCCTTGCCCGTCAGCAGGTGCAGCAGCCCCTCCTGGGGAGGGAAGCCAAGCAGGAGGTCGCATGGAGGGTGCAGGAACCCCCCCCCCACAATCTTCTTGCTTTTGCAGGGACGGTGGTGTCTTGCTGACTTCTCTAGGTGAGGGCGTGGGGAAAGAGGGCCAGACCCCCTCCCTGCTTCTTTTGGAGGGGGGGTGCATCTTCACAAGGCCTCCCCCCACCCCCCGCTCAGTCCCAGGATTGGGACAAGCCTCTTTCTCTCTGCCTGGAAGCTGAGCTGCTCTGACATTGGGGGGGGGTTCCTTCTTTCTCTGCAGCCCCTTTGGGAGAGACCCCCCCCCACCTGCGTGCGCGTTCTCTGCAGCAGCAGCAGGGATTCATGGGAGAGGAAGTCCATCCAGGTGATGTGGCCCTTCTGCCTGGGGTCCAGGGCCCCGAACTGCAGGGACTGCCGTTCCTTTTCTTCCTTGCTGCTGGGCTGCCCCCCGAGGCCCTTGTAGCGCAAGAAGTCCTCCAGGCTCAGGCTGCTCTCTGTGGATCCCCCCCCAAGTCACGGTTAGAGGGGGCACTTTGCTGCCTGGCCTCCCCCAGGGCAAAAAAGCCCCTGCAGGAGCCCCCCTCCCCCAGTGACCTCTCCTCCCACGAGAGAGGAAGCCCCTCCCCCCCAATGTGTCCCCCTTTGTCTCTTGTCTGAGACCGGGGTTTGGGGGTCAATCCTCCCAGAATCAAACACTTCTCGAAGCAGATGGGGAGGGGTCTCCGCCCTGGGAAGGAGACCCCAATGGGCTGCAATGCCCCTCTGCCTGCCAGTGCTCCACCTCTGCCCTAAATGAGTTGTGGGGGCAGCCTTACTGGGTGCGATGTTGCTCTGCTGGAAGGCATCGGAGAGGGAGCCCATTTCCTCTTCAGTGAGCAGCGAGTTCAGGTTATCCTGTCCGGAAGAAGGGAATGGCCAGAGTTACAACACCACCGGTCCCATTTAGGACTGTTTTTCCCACGGTGGGTGAGAAAGGCAGGTGCCTGCTGAGCCCCCTTTGTGGCCAAGGGGCCTTGGGCACCCGGACGGTTTTGCAAACCAGCTTACCTTCTGGATGGATTACAGAACAGCCTCCCCCACTCCACAGCCTGCCTCGCCCCACTCATTTCCCATGCTGTTTTGTAGCCATGCCCCTCCCCCCGCATTTTCTCTGGAAATTGCCCTGGCTTCCTCCAAACCAGGGGTCAGCAAAGATGGCCCCTTTAGGACCTGCGGACTTCAACTCCCAGAATTCCTGAGCCAGCCAGCCAGCTCACAAAGTCAGAAAGGGGAGGGGCGCTGCTGGACCCCCAGCCTCGGACTTTGGAGCCCACAGGCAGTTCTCAAGCAGGAGACCCTCCCCCGCCCCAGACAGGTGGCTGCCCTTAAAAGCCTCCAGTGATGGAGCTCCCACAACTCCTGGAGGCAAGATCAGTCAGGGTTGCTTCTTCCCTTGGTTCTTCATCTACAAAGACCAGATCCCATCCCACGCTCTCCAGGCTCTTCATGAAAGCCTCCTGTGATGGAGCAGCCACCACTCAACTTACAAAGTACATCTAGCGACCGTTCAAAGTTACGACGACACTGAAGAAAGTGACTTATGACCGTTTTTCACACTTACGACCATTGCAGCATCCCCAGGGACACGTGATCCAAATTTGGGTTCATATTTATGACACTTGTGGCATCCTGGGATCATCCCTTTTGCGACCTTCTGACAAGCAAAGTCCATGGGGGGGGGAAGCCAGATTCACTTAACAACCGTGTTGCTAACTTAACAACTGCGGTGATTTACTTAACAACCGTGACAAGGCAGGCCATAAAATGGGGCAAAACTCATTTAATAACTTCGCTTCAAAAAACCTTGTGTACCTATATCAGCTATTCCCCCCGCCAAACTTCCCCCGGCTAAATGTCCCTTGTCCCCTCTTCCTATATTCCTGGCCCCCTGCATCTCCTTCCCACCATTCCCCACCCCCGCCCTACGGGATCCCCCAAGCCCTCCTGAGCACCCCTCCCCCAAAGGGGCCTGGCCCAGCCATGATTTCCCGAGAGAGCAGCCTGGCCCAGGCCCACCGGGGCCCCTCTGCCCCCTCCCAGCCCCACGACTTACACAGTGGTAGCAGCTCCATCCGACCGCAGAGTGGGCTGCCTCGATGGCCTCGGAGGCCTCGGCCGGGGAGAGCAGGCCCATGCGCTGCAGGCAGCCGTCGTGGTAGACCTTGGTGCAAACCCGGCAGGGCAGGAGGCTGTCGGCCGTCCACACCTCGCACACTTCACACATCTCATCGTTGGTCACCTGCAGGGGGAGGGAGGGCTGGGAAAGATCCGAGAGGAGCCCTCTGGTCCTGAGCCCCCAGCCCCAGTGGGAGAGCCCCTCTTGGGCTTCTGGCACAGCCGAGCCTCTGGACTTCGGATCAGCCAACGCCAAGAAGGAGCAAGGAGAGGAGCAATGCAGTTGGAAGGGAACCTGGAGGTCTTCTAGTCCAACCCCCTGTTCAAGCAGGAGACCCTCTACAATTCTGGACAATCTCTTCTTAAAAGCCTCCAGTGTTAGAGCATTCACAACTTCCAGAGACAAACCGTTCCACTGGTTAAGTGTTCTGTCAGGAAATTTCTCCTCATTTCCAGGTTGAATCTCTCCCTATTGTTTCTTGTCCTGCCTTCAGGGGCTTTGGAGAATAAGCTGACCCCCTCTTCTTTGTGGCAGCCCCTGAGATATTGGATAATACTGCTATCATGTCACTCCTAGTTCCTTCTTTTCATTAAACTAGACATACCCAATTCCTGCAACCGTTCTTTGTATGTTTTAGCCTCCAGCCCCCTAATCATCTTGGTTGCTCTTCTCTGCACTTTCTAGCGTCAAAACTCTTCCTTCTCAGAGCAGGTTCAAAGGATGAAGAGGAGGAGGAGGAGGGAGGAGACCTTGCCCAGGCAGATGGGCAGCAGGACTGTAGGAAGGGCTCAGGATCCCTTCCCGGACAGGAAGTGGAGGGCCCCCGGAGAATATGATTGCTCAAACCAGGGGCCACTAAATCTGCTCCAAAAAGGACAGGGATTAACGATTAGCACCGAACAGAGGGGTTTCTAGGCTCTTCTTGGAGAGGAGCCGCTTTCCTGGACCAGCAGCTCCAGGATCTCAACTGGGGCCAACTGGGGCCTGAGGGTGAGCTCTGTCTGTCCTGGGGAGAAGGAAGCAGTTGGAAGTTGTTCTGATTCTCCCAAGCAGTTCCAGTTGGTTCCACTATTTGTTCTGCCAACCACACGTGATTCCCTCTCTTGTCATGCATCATCACCCCAAAACAGGCCCTTCGCATTTGCCTTTTCAGAATATTCCCCTACCTTGCAACCCCCTCCCCCACAAGGCCATTCTCTCCTGTGTTTAACTAATACCCAGTAGTGCCTTTTCCTCCAGCTGCTTTGGGGTGGAGAACTGCACCAAAATGGGAGAAATTGCTTATTTTTAATAAAACGCACTTTGCTTTGTGTTTGGTCCAGAAAGACTAATTTAAGCAGGTTGACATTCCAAGATGAACCCGAGAGATCTTCGTCTATTCCTCTCCCCACCCCCAACAGCCCTTCAGCGTCTGATGGTGACAGTGAAGAAAAAAAAAATTTTTTTGTTTTTACTCTTGTAATATTTTTGATTGTTTTAGAATTTTAAGCCACCCACAATCACTTGGTTGATTTGGGCAGCTCCAGAAATGGAAGGAATAAATAAAAGAGGCTGCCCAGCTGTGAACTCGGTCTCTTTAGGGCAGACCTGTCCAGTTTGGCATTTCCAGATGTGTTTGGCAATGAACACTGAAAGCAGCGTATCAGGACTGTGTCATCGGGGAGTGCTGATTCTTTGGAGGGCAGGGGGGCAAACGACCTTTGTTTTACATCTTTCCCTCGGGAGGCTGTTTATTTGCCTCCTCCTGAGCTTCACCTGTTCCAGACGTGACTGAATTTTCTATGAGGCTCCTGGAGGAGCCGCTTCTTCTCCCCGGCCTCAAATACGGGCGAGGAGAGAAAGTTTGCTTTGGGGACTGCGACACTCAGCGTTCACACACCGCTTGGCCTGGCACAACAGTTTGGTGTAAGAGGGGGGGTGCGGAGGGGATGAGTAATTTCTGGTGTTGAATATGGTAGAAATCCGGCTGTTACCTCCCCAGGTTCTGCAGATCTTAATGCAGGCTGGTAAAATCCAAAAGGGAGGTGAAAAGAGGGGAATGGGCTTTGAGGCAAATGCAGTTCAGGGCAAAGACATAAAGGTTGTCTTCGACTTACAACAGTTCATTTAGTGACAGTTCAAAGATACAATAGCACTGAAAAAAATTACTTATGACATCTATTGCATTGCATTCAATTCTACCCGTATAAGGGATGCAGACTGGCGGCATCTCTGAATTTATGCATTACGGGGATTTGAGCCTGCCGCGACTGTTTGGCAAGTGACTTTGAAGTCATGAAGGACAGAATGATGAAAACGGCAACCAGGTTACAAAAATGGGAGAATACATGCTTGGAATCCCCAAGCGAGGAATCCTCACAAAGAAAAAGAAAGATGCAAATTAGCGTCAAGGCCACAGCTCAGCTCTCTTCGGTTCTGGGAGCTGCGCCTTAAGGGAGAGATGACAGAACTGGGGAAGGGGCTAAAAGGGGCCCAAAGGAAACAATGGGAAGGCTGGCGCAGACCATCCCCTCCCCCCTTGGAGTAGCTACACAGTCTGGAGAGAAGAAGGTTGGCAAGGCCAGGTCCTCCCCCTGCCCAAAATGTTAAGAAGATTCATGCCAAGCTCACGGCAGAGTCCAGCTATGGGAATCGGTGCTGGTCCTTACAGGGATGGCAGCCAATTGTGTGTGTGTGTGTGTGTGTGAAAATCCAGTCTCAAGTGGGTTACATAGGATCTGGCTCTCAAGGATCCTGAGAACTCCCAGGGCTGTTCAGTTACTGGGACACTTCCCAGTTAGCAGAGTCACAGGCTTAGAAGGGACCTTGGAGATCTTCTAGACCAACCCCTGGGGCTCAAGCAGGAGACCCTATTACCCCATTACCTACACCACTTGCAAGATGGTTGAGAGAGAGAGAGGAGAGAAGGTGGGCTCTGGCCAACCGGGGCTCTTGGGGGCCTCTCTTTGCCGACTGACACCCCCCTCCCTGGAGGGAAAGGGGTTCCTGGACAAGAGGGGGCGGGTCCTGAGACCAGCAGGTGCAGGAACGCCCCGCCCACTTGACTTTACCGCTCCTCCGATCTTGGGTCGGTCTCAGGTACAGCCGCCCCCTCGGGAAGGTCGGGTGGGGAGCTCACCTGCTCGCGCTGCTCCAGGCTGATCTCCAGCCGCTCCTCCTCTTCGCGCGGCGGCCGGACGGGGCGGACCAGGGCCGGGGGCGAGAAGCAGCCGGGCCGGTCCAGGTCTTCGGGTTCCACGCCGCGCCCGTCCCGCAGCCTCGCCCAGGCGGCGCTCGGGGTCCTGCTGCCCCCCGGCGCCTCCTCCTCGTCGCGGAGCTCTTGCACGGCGTGCTCTTCCAGGGTCCCGCGGCGGCTGGCGGCCCCCTCGGCCGGGCGCTTGGCGGCGGGCCGTTCCCGGAGCCCGTCCTTGAAGGCCGAGACGGCCAGGCTGACCTTCTGCACCTGCTCCACCGTCTGCCGCCGGGACATCAGCACCCCCATGGCTCCCCTCGCCTGCCGAGACAGCCAGCGCGGCCCGTCAGCGCCCTTCCACTCCCCGGCCGGCCGGGCTTCCACGCGCAGCCCCCCCGCCCCCTCCAAAGGAGCCCGCTAGGACGACGTCGCCCGGCCGGCTCCCTTGGAGCTCTTGCCGGGCAGCCGCCTGCCTTCGCTCCCGGAGAGCAACGCCTGGCAGGTCCTTCGGGGAGGAGGCGGGGCACCTGCCGCAGCCCCTCCCCCCCCGCTGGACACTGAACTTCAGCGGACACCCAAAGACGGGCTGGGGGGGGGGCTGTGCAGGACCAGGGGCTGCAGTGATCTGGGGCGCTCCAGCTGGAGGGGGGGCTCTGGCTGGCAGAGGAGACCCAGAGACCACAAGAGAAGGAAGCTGGCAGGACGGCTCTCCTTGCAAAAGCTGCTTCAGGAGGCCTGGGGGAAGGTCACTCCCCGCTTCCTGGAGTTGCCTTATTTATTTACACACACACCCACACACCCAACTCCAAGAACTGGGGAGTCAAGGGCCCCATCTTCTCTCCTGGGCTTCTTGGTTCCCTTGGAGTTGCTCCCCCCAGCAGACGCCTCCTCCTCCTCCTCCCATTGAACGACAAAGGTCCCGTATTCAAGGCAGTGGCCAGCTCACCTTAGTGCAAAGGCAGGCTGGGGGAAAGTGGGGGGGGAGCAGCAGGAAGGATCAGAGAAGCTCTTGGTCTTCCCCTTACTGGACACTTCCTCCCCAGCAAGCCAACCGTTTGCCATCCTCAATCACGTTCGCTTTTTTCTTGGGAGGATAAAAAACCCGTTTACAAGACAATAACCATCAAAAGGGGACACATTAGAATTCAGAAGACCGGAGTCGGAAGGGACTTTGGAGGTCTTCTAGTCTAACCCCCTGCTCTAGGCTATTTCAGACAGGTGGCTGTCCAGTCTCTTCTTGAAAAGCTCCAGTGATGGAGCACCCACAACTTCTGAAGGCTGTTTGGAAGATGCACACGTGGATATATAAAAGGCCTAATAAAAATTCCGAACAAAAAAATGTTCACCTCCTTGAAATAAAAAGAGGGTCACTTGCAGAGGGAGAAAGAGGGCAGAGGAGCCAGGCCTGGTTCAGGGTGACGGAGGTTCGAGAGGAAGGCTAAGAAGATCTCAGAAAGTTTGAGTGAGGAAAGAATTGCATCCGAATCTTTGCTGCTGTTCAGGGAAGGCAGAGTATGAGAAGAGGCAGGAGAAGGCTCACTCTTCCCCAGCGAGGAAGCCCAAGTGCAGGGCTGAAGCTTGACAGAAACACAGTCAAGGACATTTCTTTATTTTTACTCAGTTTAGAGCTTCACAACCAGAAGAACCGCTCCCTGCTGAAGGAACCAGCTGATCTCCTGGACAAGCCTTTACCTATTATCTTTGAGAAGTCCTGGGCAAACGGAGAAATGCCAGATGATTCAAAAAAAGCAACTGTCACTTTATCTTCAAAAGGAGGCTCTGCAGACCAGTCAGTCTGAAGTTAAAGTCTAATGAACAGATCATGAAATGGTTATTCCAAAGTACCTTTAAAATGATAGAGTGATTACTAAAAATTGGCATGGATTCGTCAGGAACAAGTCTTATTCACTCAACCTTTTATTGTTTCTCTGTTTTTACTGCTTTATTTATTGTTTTTTTCATTATTGTGAGCGACTCAGAATAACTTAAGATGGATGGCCAGACAGATCTTTTAAATCAATCAATCAATTAAATAAATAGCCCTTATCTAATTTTTTTAAATTAGGAGATTCCTTAATACAACGCTGTAAATTGGAGTCCTAGGGAACACCATCCAAATACTTTGAACCAACCAAAAACCCTACCTCATAATTAGTGCTCCTAATTAAGAGCACTTAAATGTAGGTGGATGGTATGACATTAAGTAGATACATAGCTGGTTTTAAAAATCAAACTTCAAGAGTACTTATTAATAGCTAATCCTTAAATTGGAGAGCCATGTCAAGCAGAATGGGAGAACTCGCCCTGGCCAACTTCCTGAAGCCAATCGCTACGAGGACAACTCGTTGCAGGACAGTATGACATGGGATGACTCAAAAGAGGGACAAGTGAATTGCAGCTCACCTCAGAGTCAAGAACGTCTACCTGGAGAAGGAGGCCCACTGCAATCCACTTGTCCTTTTTTGGAGTTATCTGCTCCCTGTTGAATTGCTGCGTGATGAGTTGTCCTCGCGGTGACTTGGCTGGGGCGAGTTGTCCTACCTAGACCTTATCAAGAGGCTGGCCTCCCACTCTTCACTGTCATAACTTGGAAGGGATGTTCCCTGCATGCAAGTGACAGAAGACTGGGTGGCAGGAAATTCAGGAAGATCTTGACGGGGTACAGAAAAGAGCTGAAAGTAAGCAAATGAAATAGAACAGCAGCAAAGGAACAAGTGCAGAGGTCCAGGATGAGGAATCCTTGAAAAAGTGACTTGGAATTGTAACTCAACATAAGCTTAATATAGGCCAACTGCCAAGAATGGCAAAAAAGGCAGATGTAAACCCAGTTTGCCCCATGGGAAGGACAGCCTCTAAATCTCGGGAAGCCTCTGTGCTTTTCTCTTCTGCTTTGGTCAGACTAGACACCGTGGCTGGAGATGGATCCAGAGAAATGAAGGTGGGTTCAGAGAAGAGCATGAAGGATGATCAAGGGGCTTGGTAGAAACTTCATACTGTCTTATGAAGACAGCGAGAGAAAGAAATGGACAACGCTTCATCTAGAAAAGAGAAGATCAAGAAACACTCAAATGATGGCATTCAAAAATGCCATCATTTCAGGGAACCGAAGTGAGAGTGAGGAACTTGGATTGAAGGCAGATATTCCAGCTGAGGAAGAGATGAAGCCTAAGTAGATCTAATGCCGTCTCTCTTTTCAGCATCTTCACTGAGCAACTGCTCTTGATGTTGTTCATCTCCTGAATCTGGTCATCAGGCTGCCATTACGGCCCAACATAATAAAGTCCATAATCCTCTTCCATCCATCAATCCCTGCTCTGTAACAAGAAACTCCACTAACAGAGAACATTCTGGGAAGACCAAGAAAGAAGGTGAAGGAAATAAGCATGCATATAATTCAAACCGCAGGGATTGCATTTGGCTGAAGTCTCATGCTGAAAAACTGGAGAAAGCTAAAAATAAATAAATAATCAGATTTGGTTTCAGCAGGTTTGGCCCTCCAGATGACATCTGGAATATGCTTTCCAGTTTTGGTCACTACTTTATAAAAAAGATGTTGAGACTTTGGAAAGAGTGCAGAGAAGAGCAACAAGATGATGAGGGGCCCCTGGAGGCTAAAACGTATGAAGAAGGGTTGCAGGAATTGGGTATGGCCAGTCTAGTGAAAAGAAGGACTGGGGTGACCTGATAGCAGCATTCCAGTATTTGAGGGGCTTCTACAGAGAAGAGGGGGTCCACCTATTCTCCAGAGCACCAGAAGGCAGGACCAGAAGCAATGGATGGAAACTAATCAAGTAGAGAAGCAACCTAGAATTAAGGAGAAGCTTCTTAACAATGAAGACAATTAACCAGTGGAACAGCTTGCCACCAGAAGTTGTGGGTGCTCCATCACTGGAAGCTTTTAAGAAGAGTCTGGACAACCATTTGTCTGAAATTGTATAGGGTCTCCTGCTTGAGCAGAGGGGTGGGCTAGAAGACCTCCAAGGTCTCTTCCAACTCTATTATTCTGTATTCTGATGTTACCCTGAAGATTGGTGAGTTAAAAAAAATAATAATAAACCATACTTGGTTTCTGTAACTAGAAAGTGTAAAATCAAGATCATCTCCTTCCCCATCCGTAGTCTGAGGTTGCCTTAGTTGGCAAAAATAGAAGTGGAGGCAATTTTATGCGAACCAAAGCATATCAATGTGACCCAGTTGCATAGTTTACGGAGAAATTGGCCGGATCCCTGCTTTGTGTATTCTTCAGCACAATGAGTGAGCCTTTAGCCAAGACAATGTCCCACAGTATTTCATAGCTGATAGCAAATAGATGGTTTCCCTCCTGCCATCTGTCACATTCATTCATTTTATACGCTCAGCTTCGGTCTTGAGAGTCATGAGGGAATTTATAGGGCTGCTCAGAGAGTCAGCAACCTGAAGACACTCTAGGATAGGGGTCTCCAACCATGGTGACTTTAAGACCCCTGGCTGGCTGGGGAATTCTGGGAGTTGAAGTCCACAAGACTTAAAATCGTCAACATTGGACATATGTAGGAGATCTAGGAGAAGAGCGGTGTTAGTCTATAGCAGGGGTGTCAAACTTGATTTCATTGAGGGCTGCATCAGGGTTGTGTTTAACCTGGGGGGGCGTGGCCAGGGGGGGCATGGCCAGCTTGATGTCACTCGTGTCGGGAGCACCTGTGGTGACCAAGTGCTAAGGCAGGACATCCCTCAGACCCTCCCTCCCTCTCATAATAATATCCTTCCTTCCCTCCTTCCTTCCCTCCTTCCTTCCTTCCTTCCTTCCTTTTCTTTTTTCCTTCTGTCTTCATTCTCCTTTCTTCTTCCTTCCCCTTTCTGTCAGCCCAGCTGAGGTTTATTTTTCCAGTCTTTACGGAACCTGACACTTTCCTTATTTTGCCTTCCTTGCTCTCTTCCCATCTTCCCTTCTTTATTTTTTCCTCTCCTCTTTCCCTTTCTCCTTTCCTGTCTCTCCTTGTATGCTCAAATGCAAAAGGGGAAACATTGCTACTTTTGTTTTGTTTTTAGTTTGTTTTGCTAGCCCTCTGCCAGCGAAAATGGAGCTTGGGGTGTATGTGTCACATGTGGCCCCCCTGAGCTCTGTTTTTGCTGGCAGAGCCACCACGGGCCAGTCCTTTGCTGTTTCCAGGGTGGTCCCGAGTGCCAGATCTAAGCACCCCACGGAGCCGGATCTGGCCTGAATTTGACACCTGTTTGATAGTAACCAAAAATCTTTTAATCTGGAAAACCTTTTCCAAGGAGCAAATTGTATTAAATAGCATAAGCTTATGTCAGCAGCAGCTCACAAAAGATTATGCACT